AACTAGAAATGTCTAATACCTGAGATATCCTGTGCTAACTGAGAGTCATAAACAGGCCCCTGAGCGTTTGAGATGTGTCTAGTATTGGGTGTGTGTGTGTGTGGTGTGTGTGCTTTGTTTTAGTTTGTTTGGATAGGTGTTTTGTTGTTGTACTGGTGGTTGTCTGGGGTTTACTGTTATTGTTTTTGAGATGGTGTCTCACTGTGTAGCCAAGGCTGTCCTAGAACTCCTTATGTAGACCAGGTTGGCCGCAAAGTTACATACCTCTGCTTCTTGAGTGCTGGAGTTAAAGGTGTGCACCGACTCACAGGGCCAATCTTTTAATTAATTAATTTAAATGACCACATGGAGCTGATGAGCGCCATAACTAGAAGTACCCCTAGGCCACTAGGACTGAATCCCCTGAAGGCGGCTTTCCTCAACGGAACCAAGAGTGCAGCCATGCTGGAGAAAGATCTATAGCTGAGGGATGGCTGAGGTCAACCCTGTCTCCACATAAAGCCTTCACCAAGGCAGACACTGCATTCTCTTTACTTGGAGCTGTGTGAACCTGTGGGAGGGACACACACACAGCACTCACAGCACTCGGCCTCCTCATGCCCTGGGGGAGCTCCGTCTCTGTGTTCTCCTTCTCCCTAGTGCATCCTGAAGCGTCCACACTCCCCATACCAACATGCATGCCAGCAGTTCCGCTCAGGCTCGGATCCCCCACCAGAGTCCCACTAACACGCTGCCTCCTTTGAGGTCATAGCAATCACTGGATGGGCTGAGCCCACCTGCCTGCCATCCAAATTTAGGAAAACCAAATGCTACTCGATTTCAAGAACCCTGAAGCTGCCGCTGCTCCCAGGCTTTCCCAGGGAAGGGCCTGCTGACTTCTCGGGACTGGCCAGTCTCCCTCACATCAGCATCCGCCTGAAGGAGCTGTCGTAGCCTTGCCTGAAACCACTCTTATTTTGTTTGACCAACTGACAGGAATGATCTGAACTCAGGTAGACACACCCGCTGGGCAGTCCCCGAGCAGAGCTCTGCCTCAGACCTCTTCTCCTCATTCTTTATCTTGGGGCAGTGCCTCACTAGGCACTAGTGCCCAGACTAGCCTTGAACTCACTCCAGCCGGGCCTGTGAACCCACGGTCCTCCTGTTTCTGTCTCCTGAGTGTCTTCAGGTCTGTGCCACCAGGCCTGACCAGGGTTTTTACCGTCACTTCCCATGTCTACTTCTTCCATGACACCAACCAGGGCTGGGCAGGACCAGCAGCCTGGGGCTCACTGTGGCTGAGCTGACAGAGAAGGAGGCCAACGGGCAACACTTACGCAATCTGGAGAGCCCGGGTCCCCAGCACTCGGGCTCGCTCATACTTGGTCATGTAAGGAGTGGTGATCCGCTTCTGGTTGGCCTGTGGTCGCTCACCAGATGGGAGAATCTCGACATTTTCCTGACCTTCCTGGATACCACATAAACAAAGAGGGGAAATCTCAGGGCAAGTTTTAGATCAGGTAGGAAGATGATCACACAGACACTCCCCATCACCCTCCCTATCACCACCAACCCTTTCTGGGTGTCATGGACCAAGCAACCACTCACCGACACCCCACGCAATTCTCAACCCCATGCAAACTTGTAAGGCAAGGATTGTGGTCCCTAGTCCAGGGGCTTCAAGAGTCAGCCAACCTGACCAAAACCTCCAAGCCAGCAGTAAAGACGACTGTGTTCAGACCTCTAGAACCAGCTGCCTTGCCCAAACAGCTGGCCCTGTAAGTGATGAGCACACCCTCAACCAGAAGCTCAGGACAAACACCTGATCATTCATATGGCAAATGACCCAATGGGTCGGTGACCAGAATAGTCACGGTAAGAGAGAAACTAAGCACACTAACCTTGCTGTACTCTGCTATTCAGGCTAGAGACAGAGAACACATAAGGCCGTGGGTTTCAAACCCTGCAGTGAGAGCTCGCACACACACAGACACACCTACACACTCTAATAACAATCTGGCTAGGCTGGCACAGATGCCAAGGCACAAAGCAGAGAGTTTCTGATAGCAGAGCCAGGACCTAGAAAATAAAATAGAAGCGTAGAGCAACGGTTGCCGGAGGTGCACAGCCCATGACAAATTTACATGATTCTAAAACCAAGAATTAAGGGTTAGGGTTTGTCTCAGAGAGTAAAGTGCCTGCTGCCCAAGCTGGAGGACCTAAATTTGGATCTTAGCCTTTATGTAAAAGTCTGGGTCTATAACAGTGTGTGCCTGTAGCCACAGAACTAGTGGTAGAGACAGAAGATTTCTGGGGCTTGAAGGCTGACAGCCTAGCTGAAACATTGAGCCCCAAGTTTTGAGAGACCCTGTCTCAAAAAATAAGATAGAGAACTAGAGAGGATGACCTCTGACCTCCACATGCACTACACAGGTAAGTGCACTTGCACACACAGACATACTGCACACATGCACACACACAAAAAAATACATTAAAAAAAAGTAATTGTTTGCTGAGTGCTTACTATATGCCAAACTGTATTATAAGTGTTAGGATACAGTAGTGAATAAAACAGACCAGTTATTTCTGCCCATGCCTTTAATCCTAGCACTCAGGTGGCAGAGGAAGGCTGGTTTCTCATGAGCCACAAGCCAGCCAGGCTCAAATAGTACATTCCAGGCTATATACTGAGACCAAGTCTCAAAAACCACCACCAAAACCAAACCGTACATAATAAGACACAATAATCTCAAGACCTAGTTAACCTGGGAAGTGGACAGCGAAAGCTCTTGGTGAACACTGCCCGTCCCACAGTGTCCACCAGTGCCCACGCTGAGGCTGGCTACTGACCCTCAGACCATTGTCCTCCTCAGGCAACTCACCTCCTCAGGCTACTGACCTCCTCAGATCACTGTCCTCCTCAGACCACTGTCCTCCTCAGATCACTGTCCTCCTCAGACCACTGACCTCCTCAGACCACTGTCCTCCTCAGAGCACTGTCTTCCTCAGATCACTGACCTCCTCAGATCACTGTCTCCTCAGACCACTGTCCTCCTCAGACCACTGTCCTCCTCAGATCACTGTCCTCCTCAGACCACTGTCTCCTCAGACCACTGTCCTCCTCAGACCACTGACCTCCTCAGATCACTGTCCTCCTCAGGCTACTGACCTCCTCAGCATTTTCCAAGTCGTCAAGTCCTTCGTCCTCCTCCACGTCATCAAAGTCATCGCCATCAAAACTGCCAGAAGAAACTGGTGGTTAGAGCATCACTGGCCAGAACCAGAGACACAGCCCACTATCTCAGCCATGACGGACAAGGAACAAGGGAACCAAACTTTGGGGGGTCACTTTATGCCTCCAATCTTGTCCCATGTGTTTTTTATTGGACTTGTTCATATTTTGCTAGGACTTGTTCATTGTGGTTTCCCTCTCTGTGAACTTCTCCAGTCAGCATGTAAACATGTACTTTTCTGGTCTGGGGATTTTTTTTTTTAAGGTTTATTTTATCTCTGTAAATGTGAGTATACACACATGCAAGTGCCTACCTACCGCTCTGGGGGAGGGGGCCCTTTTCTGGGTTCTCTTTCCCCCCAGTCACTCAGTAGCCATCTCTTCTCTGGTGGCACTCACTGCCCTGGTCAACACTGTCATCTCTGCTTTCATTGTACTTTTTCTTTTCTTGTTTGTTTTTTTTTTTTTTTTTTTTCCTGAGACAGGGTTTCTCTGTGTAGCCCTGGCTGTCCTGGAACTCACTCTGTAGTTCCACCACTGCCCGGCTTTCATTGTACTTTTGCCTGTGTTTTGTTTGCTTGTTTTGAAGTCAGTCTTACTGCATACTATGTAACTCAGGCTGGCCGGAGACTCACTATGTAGCATGGCTTGACCTCTAGTTCACCTCTAGTTCACCGCAATTCTCCTGCCTTAGCCTCCCAAGTGCTAGGATTACAGGTGTGAACTGCCACACTCAGCCTCTGAGTTCTGACTGATATATGTATACTACTGATATATCTGAACTACTATGGTTTATCCTCTCTATGACCTAACACATACAGCCCATCAGGAAATTCTTTAGGTTCTATCTTTAAAATATATCGGGAGCCGGGCACGGTGGCACAGGCCTGTAATTCAGTGCTCAGGAGGCAAAGGCAGGTAGATTTCTGTAAAATTTGAGGACAGCGTAATCTACACAGTGACTTCCAGGACAGCTAGGACTATGTTGAGAGACTCTGTTTCAAAAAAGAAGAGAAATACCCATCACTTGGAAGGCAGAGATAGATGGATCTCTAAGTTCGAACCACCTGTTTTTATTTTGTTTATTTGGTCTCCAAATAAACAAAATAAAAACATGTCCATAATCCTGCCGGGTCTGGTGGCTCATGCCAGATATACCAATACTTGGGAAGCTGAGGCAGAGGACTGTGGGAAATTCAAAGCTAGCCTTACCTACATAGTGAATTCCCGGGCAGCCTGGGTTTCAGACAGCCTCAAACAGCACTAAACTTCATGCTCTCCAGAGTCCATCCCCGCTTCTGCCACCTCTGCTTCTATCACCAAGTCCAAATCTGCTCCCAGCCTTCCAGGCCATTCTCTGGGTTGCTTCTTCCTTCCTACTTCCACGAGTACACAAGCTACACCACGGGCATTCCTTTCCAGAAAGAGAGCGCTCGGAGGGCCGGGGCTACACGGACTGAAATCTCTGCCCAGGGTCCCACTGCTCCGCGAGGTAGGAAGTTCTGTAGACTTCACCCCGCCAACCCAGAAGCTGGGCTAGCCTGTACTTCAAGAGCTCGACTCGCACCACGACCTCCTCCCCTGTGTGCCCCGTGCTCACTTGTCCTCGTTGTCTGACATGATGCCTTCTCCGCACTGGCGGGTCCCGGGCGCAGAACAGAGAAATGCGCGCCTCAGCCCCTCGCGGAACCACGCGTAGTTTGCGCCTGCGCCGTGACCCAGTGCAATTGCTTCCGGGAGTCAGCCGGCTGTGCTAATGCGCATGCGTGGGGGGCGTGTCGCTAGTTACCATGGTAACAAGGAGCTCTTGGTGAGGACGCTGACACTCTGGGTCCCGGGAGGATCTCGGTAAGGAGGGCTCTGCCACGCCCGGGTCTTCGCTTACGGTGAGCGCTCCTCCCCGGACCGTCATGTTAGGGACGGTGGTCACTGCGCTGTCCGGAGCCGAGGGATTGGGCACCAGCTTCTCAGACTCCCAAGTTGCTCGCGATGAGAGGTCCGGACTGCGACGCGGGACGAGGGCGGGTCATTGCTTCTCTCCCTCCTAGGGCCCTCCCATGGCTTCCCAGGAGAGGGTGGACTCAGTGACAAAAGAAACCGGGTTCCGCCGCTGCCGTAAGCAAGCAGCTTACACGCCAGGGACCTGTGAGCTGCTCAGAGGTCAGTGCCTTAGGGAAACAACGACCTGAGCGGTGCGGGTTTTCTCTTCAGAGCTTGGGATTCAGAAAGGTTCGGGGGGAGAGTCAAAGGCCAGAGATGGAGAATTTTGGAATGGTTAGCTCATCTTTTACATGCACTTTCAACGAAGCCTATCTCCTTCCCACCACAGTAGGGCCTTTACAGTACCAAATTCAGTTCCCTTCACCGGGTTTAGCACAATATATAGTCTTACAGGTGTTTAGTGTCCCAGCTATCACCTCCTAAATAGTGAACGCCACCAGGCAAAGAACGTGCCTGTTTCGGCTCACAAGTGTAGCCCCAGACTCTGCTAAGTGAATGAACCTGTATGCATTAATTATTCAACAACTAAAAATCTAATGTATGATTTGGATATTGTTCTAAGTACTAGGAGTAGAGTGTTGAAGGGATTGCAAAAGACAATTCTTGCTCTCATAGAACTAATAGTGCAGGAGGTTAACAAGAAAAATTAACTGGAGAAAATTATCGAGCTGGAGTGTAGCTCAGTGACAGAGTGTGTTCTAGGCAAATGTGAAGTCTCAGTTTCAGTCCCAGCACACCACACACACAAAAAAAGTGTGTGTGTTACGGTTGAGAAATGGCTCAATGGTTAAGAGCATAGACTGCTCTTCAAAAGTTAATTCCCCAGCACCCATATTAGCCAGTCACCAAAAAAGTATGTATGTGTGTGTTGTGTGTGTGTATTAGGCAGATATAATGCTGTGTATGCAAGCTTACTCCTTGGGAGGATTTCCTGAGCCCAGGAAAAGCTAACCTGGATAATATAGTAAGATCCTATCCTTAAAATAAAACAAGGGCCAGAGAGATGGCTCAGAGATTAAGAGCACTTACTGCTATTCTCAAGGACCCAAGTTCAATTCCCTACAACCATGTCAGGTGGGTTAAAACAATCTGTAACTCTAGCTTCCTATGATTCAATGCCTTTTTCTGGCCTCCACAAGGACCCATACACACGAAGATACACTCATACACAGACACACACACAAAATCTTAAGGGGAAAAAAAGCGGCATATAGTGGCTCATGTCTTTGGTTCTAGCACTCTGGAGAGAGGTGGTGGGTGGGTCTTTGTGAGCTTGAGACCTGCCCAGTGTACATACCAAATTTCAGCCAGGTTACACAGTGAGACCATCTCTATAAATAAACCATAAGTTAAAAGCTAGATAAATGAATGAATGAATGAATGAATGAATACAAGAAAAGGAAAAAAGTTAAGTGACAGCCATTAAATGAAGTAGGCACAGAAGAGTGGGGGAGCTCAGTGCAGAAGGGGGGAGACAGTGCTACAGCAGGGTGTTGCAGGGGTGGGGCAGGGGTGGGCAGGGGTGGACAGGGGTGAGGTGAGGGTGTCTGCTGAAGCTCCAGAACTCAGACACGGCTTTATTTTACAGTGATGATGAAGGAGTCCAAACTGACAAACTTCCAGCAACGCCACATCATGGACACCATGAAAAGTAAGGGCAGTCACTCTCACTTGAAAGACTTTCTGGAACCAGGGATACTTTTTTGGGGGGGAGAGGTGGAGGGAAGACAGAGTTACTCTGTGTAACCCTGGCTGTCCTGGAACTTTGTAAACCAGGCTGGCCTCGAGACCTCCCTGCCTCTGCCTCCCAAGTGCTTAGATTAACAGTGTGTGCCACCATGCCCTGCTCAGGGATATGTTTCCAATGCTTCTCTATATGAAGGGGAAAGGGAGTTTATATAGTAAGTTCTAGGCCAGCCATGACTACATAGTGAGATCTTGTCACATAAAAAAGGGTCGGGCAGCTGACGGTGATGGTGCACGCCTTTAATCCCAGCAGTCAGGAGGCAGAGGCGTGCAGATATCTCAAAAAAATAAAAGTAAAAATAAAAATAAAAAAAATATTGTCTCAAAAAAACAAAACAAACAAAAAACAACAACAACAACAAAAAAAAAACCCAATGGGTTGGAGAGATGTGGTTTAGAGCACTAACTGCTCTTCCAGAGGTCCTGAGTTCGCAACCACATGGTGGCTCACAACCATCTGTAATGGGATCTGCTGTCTTCTGGGGTGTCTGAAGACAGCTACCATGTACTCATATAAATAAAATGAACAAATTAAAAAAAAAAAAACAAAAAAAAAATCAACCAAGCTGGGTGGTGGTGGCGCACGCCTTTAATCCCAGCACTTGGGAGGCAGAGACAGGCGGATTTCTGAGTTCGAGGCCAGCCTGGTCTACAGAGTGAGTTCCAGGACAGCCAGAACTACACAGAGAAACCCTGTCTCGAAAAACAAACAAACAAACAAATCAACCAAACCAAAAAGGGTTGAGGAGAGTGAGGCTGGCTGGAGAGAAGGCTCAGTGGTTAAGAACAGGTACTGCTCTTGTAGAGTACCTGAGTTAAGTTCTCAGCTCCCATGTGGGGTGATTCAGTCACCTACAACTCCAGAGCCATCCCACATGGCCTCACTGGGCACTGTGGTTCACAGGCACATATGTGTGTATGTATGTATGTATGTATGTATGTATGTATGTATGTATGTGTGTGTGTATGATGTATACACACATAACTAAAAAGAAAAGTTTTTGTTTCGAGACAGGGTTTCTCTGTGTTGCTCTGGCTGTCCTGGGACTTGCTCTGTAGACCAAACTGGTCTCAGACTCAGAGACCCACCTATAGGTACCAGGCACACACACAGTATACATCCATATATGCAAGCACTCATACACATAAAATGAAAACAAATCGTAAAAAACAAGTCTTCCTCGAAATTTCATGGCTTTGGCTGCTTCCCTGGGAATTTACTCTAGCTGTCTTTTTAACTAAAATCTACTGCTGTTAAAGAAACCAAGTCTCAGAACAAAACAAAAGCAAGTAACCCAAACCAAAAAAACAAAAAACCAAGAACCCTAAGTTGTTTTGGATCTTGATTCAAACAAACAAACAAACAAAACCCTCTCCCCTCTCCTTCACCTGAACACCCAGCATCACTAAGGCCATAACTGGGTGCTGAGTGCACCCAGGGAAGAGGCAGTGCCAGGGCATGGGACCATCCTGAGAACAGTGGCATCTTCTCAGGTCTGTGAGGGGGAAGAAGCCAGGTAGGAAGCAATAGTTGTTGATCCCGTAAGCTATAGCCCAACCCTGATCACTCATCTCATCTGTTGCTGCCCTGGCCAGCTCCCCACCGATGTGTGTTTCCCTTGGCCACGAATAAGACTTTCAACAGCAAGCAAAAGAGGCAACCCTTCCCCAGACCTTACAATGGCTTCCTACATTGCAGAATAAAACTCACCTTTCCAGAAGCTTCCATATGTTCTGATCTCCACCCTCTACCCTGTTAGCCTCTTGACTGCTGCCTAGCTACTTGGATACACCCCCTCAGCACTTCTTCACTGTTTTCTCCATTGTTATCCTCTTAACAGGAACCTTTCCTGACAAACATTGACATCTAGGCTGACATTCCGGCTCAGTTGGTAGAGTCCTCGCCTCACATGCACAAGGCAGTAGACTACATCCCCAGCAGCACTAAAGGTGTGGCAGCACAGAGCTGTAATCCACGTACCTGGAAGGCAGAGGCAGGAAGATCAAAAGTTTGTCATCTCCAGCTCCATAAGAAGTTGGGAGGCCAGTCTGGATGGAGACCCTGCCTTAAACAAAAGGAAACCCCGAAACCCCGAAACCCCGGGCTAGTGAAATGGTTAAACAGGGAAAGGTGCTTGCTGCCAAGTTGTTTTTTGTTTTGTTTTGGGGTTTTTTTGTTTGTTTGCTTTTCAAGACAGGGTTTCTCTGTGTAGCCCTGGCTGTCCTGGAACTCACTCTGTAGACCAGGCTGGCCTCAAACTCAGAAATCCGCCTGTCTCTGCCTCCCGAGTGCTGGGATTAAAGGCGTGTGTCACCACTGCCTGGCTGCTGCGAAGTTTAACAACCCAAGTTTAATTGCTGTGACAAACACGGTTGGAGAGAACTGATTCCCATCAGTTGTCCTCTGATCTCCACAGTAATGCTGTGTCAAATGTGTTCAAATCTGTATTTATTACACACACGCACACACACGCACGCAGTTTTTTTTTTAAAAAACTCAGAAATAAAAGCCCCTGCTGAAGCTTCAGTGTATAAGAATGTTTATTGCAGCATTGTTGGAAAGTAGTAAAAATCCAGCCAACGAAAAAGAAAAAAAATACCAGAGACAACCAGAATGTCCAGAAGTAGACTAGCTGAATAAATAATGTAACCATTCTAACAACTAGTACACAGCTATAAAAAAAAATAAGTTAGGTATGAATGTGCTTATAGGAACTTGGCCATGATAAGTTGGTAAGTGGAAAGGCTGTTACTGACCATATGGTATGATCCAGTGTAAGAACCCTATGTGTACAAACCAAACATCCTTGGATATGTCTTAGAAGCTTCAAGAACAAGGAGCAGCCTCCTAATTCTTACTACAGTTTGTGGGGGAGCGGGCTCCCAGTGACTTGGGGCTGACTTCTGGCAGCTACCTTATTTTCTTTGAAGAGCCAGCAAAACAGGTGCCCCCACTTGCTCCTTGTATTCCTAGGAGGAGCCCCTCTGCCCCTGCAGTGCCACCCAACATCCAGCCAGAGGGGCTCTCCCTCCAAGAAGTCAGCTGCAGCTGTCTACCTGCCTCCCATCCTGGCCACCCACTCTCACCTCCGGCCCGCCAGCTTGTGTCAAGCCAATGGGGCATACAATCGCGAGCAATTCAAGCCTCAGGCCACCAGTAAGTGGTGGGCTCAGGGCTCTCTTCTGGGGTCACATGAGCCCGGGACAGACAGCATCATTCAAGTAAGCTGATAACAAACCCAGGCAGGAAACCAGTCAGGTGGCCCTCTTTATCTTCCTAGAACTTTTTTCCGATTAATCCAGTTTTCCCAGTCCCAGAGGGACATGTGGCTGTCAGCTGCATGCCCTCTTGCTCCTTCAAGTCCATCTCCCCTGCATTTGAGCCCACATCTGGGAGCCCCTCCTCCTCTAACACCGCCTTTGGCCCAGACCCACTAACACCCCCACAGTTCCCTACACACAGGCCACTTCGGAGCCCTGTGTTTCTGGGTTACCCATTAGCTCTGCACTGGTGCTTGTTCTTGGTTGTTTCCAGCGCTAGCCTGACATGTTCTGCTCAGGAACAGCCAGGGAAGCGTAGGATCTGCAGAGGCCCACTCCTCACAAGCCTGACACCCGCAGTGCTCACAGCCGGTGGGGACACGGGAACAGGCCTTGCTCTGCACCCTAGCAAGACTGTTTCTGGGCCCCACAGGAGATCTGGAGAAAGAGAAACGAAGACTCCAAAATATCTTTGCCAATGGGAAGGACATGGCGGAACGGAAAAAGGCTCCCCATGTGCGGCAAGAAGACCCAGCTCCTGAGCTGGACCGCTTTGACGAGCGTGAGCCACTGTGTGTGTGTGTGTGTGTGTGCGCGCGTGTGTGTGCGCGCCCGCATGTGTGTGTATGCACGCACGCATGCGCACGCGCTTGTGTGTAGAACTGACAGGGCTAACAAGAGAGCAACAATGGCTTGATAGACAGCCAGTGTCCCTCAGAGACCATGCCTGGGACCCGGTGCACTCCTCCTGCCCAGTGCATTGATGGCCCCTCCCCTCTGTGCAGTGGTGAAGGAAATCCAGGACAGGAAAGAATTCTTGGCTGCCATGGAGGCTCTGGGACAGGGCAAGCAATACCGAGGAATCATCCTGGCTGAAATCTCCCAGGTAGGAGAGCCCACCAAGGGAAGGGTACAGTCAAATGGAAGGAGCCCCAGCCAGCACTAGGAGAGTTAGTATCTCAGGAGTTCTGGCATGACAGCAGCTCTTCCTGATGGCTCTTTGCAGAAACTGCGGGAGATGGAGGACATTGACCGCAGGAGGAGCAAGGAGCTTAGGAAGGCCCTCGCCACCACTTAACCCAGGACAAGGGCGGGCTTGCCCAGTCAGACTGCCAACCCAGCACAACAGCCAGAACCAGAGCCCTTCACTCGGCCAAGCAGTGTCACCCCCAGGCTTGCCCACCCACAGGGGCCATGCCACATCATGACATGGCACTGTCCTGGGGCATGAGACAGTGTCCTAGACGCTGCCTTGGGATGTAGAGGCCTCAGTGGGACTTCCGAGTATTGTCACAGCTACTGTGTTGAAGCCTTCTCTAGGGGAAGCCCCAGGCACACCATGGTGATGCCCAGGCTCACCACCTTGGACATGTGCCTAAGGGTACCCTCTCTCTGGCTCTCCTGATGTCACAACTGGCCTCAGGTGCTCTCTGTTTTGCCTTTCTAAACCTAAAAGTGAACATGATTCTTCCCTTCCTTAGAACTTCCTCTTAGGATCTAAGTCTTTGGCTTCTTGTAGCCTTGGGCAGATATTTAACCACAATGATTAACTGGCCAATAAAATACATTTCACTTGCCTGTGACAAGTGCCACCTTGTTTCCCCAGGGATAATGCTTATTTGTTCAGAATCAGAACCTGTCCAGCACAGATGGGATCTAACTGTTGTTTGCAAATTTCCAGAAGAAAGGGGAAACAAGGTTCAAGAGCAGCCTGCAGCCAGTGCTAACCTTCAGGACTGTGGTGTGGAATCTCAAGTTCACCAAGACACTCCATCCAGGTGGTTACTGCAGAGTCCCCAGCAGGGCTAAGGTCAGAGACTATGGGAACAAATGTAAATGGAGGACCTGTATGGAAAGGGCCCTGGCAGATGCCACCGTTGCTCTTAAGTGCCCCTGAGACCTCAGCCTGAAGGTCAAGCAGCACCTGACAAGGAAAGCAGCCCTGCTGGACACCTGATCCCCACAGCTGCTCCCCAGCTGGTATACCCACTCCCCACCTGGTGCACCACGTGCTCCCCAGCTGGTACACTGCACATCAGTGTCCTTTCTTTAGGCTGGTAACACTGAACAGCCGGACTTTCACCAGTATTTCCTGTCCCCATAAATGAGGATGAAGTTCCCCATAATTCCAATAGAACATATGACCTGTGTTCTTGTCATAGAATAAACATGTCTACTATGCAGCAGCCAGCAGATAAAGATTCAATCAGTAGGGCAAGCCCTCTAATTTGCAGGCCTAGCACAATGGAAAACCCAGGACAAGTATAGCCTACTGTGACAAACTCAACTTTGATGTCAGCATATACAACTTATATCTGTACGAGAACTGGAGTCTGGATTTCTTCTGAAAAATGGGCAAGATCTGACAAGCCTGGGCCCATGTTCAAAGGACACAGGTGACTATGAGAGACGCTATTCTGTCCCACTGACACATGAATTTTCCTTGACACCCAGACAGCCTGGTAGCGCCCTCTCTTGGGTTACAGCAACTGGGTCATAGGGCTCCTCGGAAAGCTCTCTGAGGTGGTGGCCCTGGCTCCAAGACAGCAAGTGTATCTGGAGAGACTACCAAAGGCTACATGGGTCAGGTTCTCAACTGAGTGGACAGCCTAGACAGGCCAGAGGGCACAGATGTGGCTGTGCCCAAGGCTGCATGGCGCAGGCTACTGAGATACAGTTGAGTTCCTTCCCAGGATGCACAGAGCGAGGAACTCTGAAGTCCCCGAGTGTAAGAACAGTGCTTGGACCATAAGCTGCCTGGCACAGTCCCCAATGAAAAGAGGTATCCCACCACTTCTCCTAGAGCCACTCAGTGGTGAGTGGCCATCAGACCTTGAAGGGAACAGACAACAGAAAAGACAGGTTGCACCAACCACAAAAAGGAATGGGCCCATCCCCTGGGCATAGGGTGGGCAGAAAGCCTGAATTAGAGGACTCCTACTCAAAGCACACCTTCCTAGGCTGACCTGAGTGACTGCCCCAACACAGGTAGCAGGTCCCTGTGTGGTACACAAGGATTCCCACAGAGCGAGGGAGATGAGGGAGAAGAAACAGAACTCGTCAGCAGCCCATTCCCTTCTGACACAACACAGAGCACTCACGGAGAAGCTGGACTTGAGACTTCATAAATACAGCTCCTGAATGAGGTGACATGATTTTCAAGGGCATCTGTGCTAGACAGGAAGGTAGGGACTAAGGGTCAGGGCTGGGAGAAGAATCTAGGCAGCCAACCTTGCTGCTGGCCTGCTACAAGGTCCACAAGCCCTTAGCCAGGCCTGCTGTGAGCAGGGCTGATGAAGACTCCATCTGGCCTGGCTGAGAGAGCAACAGTGAGAGCCACTGCCTCTGCCTGGAGCCTGTATCCCTGCTTACACCCAGGCATGTCACAGCATCTGGTGCCAGACGCCAAGTGGGCAGGGCTAAGTCACAGCTGTCTGGGACACAGGGAAGAGGGAAAAATCTTTAGCCCAGACCAGCTGGAGACCACCGAGGAAGGCAAAGGTCACCCAGAGACTCCCTCCCAAGGTCATAATCCCCCTTGGCAGGTCCACAGGCAGCAGAGTGCTGCTCTGGCCTCAAAGCTCCAGGAGAGGAAAGGAAGGTGGCTTCCTTTGCTGTCAGCTCTTGTCCCCAGGGGCCTTGCTCTTGGCTTCTCGCTTGTTCCCCAGAAGCTTCAGCACCTTCATGGTCTTGAACTTGCCCTTCTTCTTACTGTCAGACTCAGCCTCTCTTTGGAAATCTGCAGCAAAGAACAGACACTGAGGCAGGGAGGGAGGGAGCTCCCAGATAGGATGGGGCAGTGGCCAGTATAACTGAGCGGGTATGCAACCATCAGGCCTCCAGTCCATCCATGCGTCATGTCAGGTCACTACTCAGGCTCCCTTTTCTCCCTGAGATCCACATCTGTGAGAACAATCTTGAACTTCTGAGGGGTAGCCCACATTTTATTTAATAGTTCAGATCACCTGTACTGGAGTACACTGCTCTACTGGCTACAGCAGAAGCAACAACTGTCAGGACTAGAGCACACCTCAGAAGCCATATGCTTCAACCTCAAACTCTCACGAGTAAAACGTGTGCTGTTGAAAAGAACCAACACTGACTATGCTGCTTAGAGGTGCCTCACCTCAGGCTGGTGCTTTATACACTCAATGCTGTAACTCTCAGCCACACAGGAAAGACGCACCATCACAAACAGGAGTGAGGTGAAGGCTGAAGGAATTGGCCCAGGCACTCATGTGCCCAAGCTAGGACCAGAAGCCTGTCTGGCTCCAGCCTCGGCCACAAGGCAACAAGGAGCCACAGGTAGAACTGAGGTCAAACCCCACGCCCCAGCTCCCAGGGCTGAATCCTTTAGCCACGACAGGTACTCTGATCCTGAGCAGGCTCTAGGTTCCCAGACCCCCAAGCCAGTGTGCAGAGCAGAGGGCAAAACCATCCTGGGCCTAGACCGCCTCCCTTCAGAGGCTGGGAGTCTGCATTACAGCCAAACATCCCATGGAGCTGCTCAGCCTTCCATTTGAGGCTGCAAACATGGGCGGAGCTCACAGGCAGGTGCTGGACCCTCCTCTGGATGAGTCTCACCTTTCTTTTTGATCATAGTTTCCAACATCTTGTCTTCCTCTTCTTCCCTGGGTAAAAAAGAGAAGCTGAGTGTCCACAGTAGGAAGGAACCAGGTCATCTGTGAGTCCCAAGTTCCAGGCCCTACAGTACTGGGCACACATGAGGGCAAGCTCTGTCCCAGGCTCTGCAGGAATTTGCTCCCCCCACGGGGTCCTAGGCATGGCACCTCTGCCGGTCCTCATCCAGGCAGTTGACAATAGCATCTCGCTGCTCGATCAGGGTCATGAGTTCCTGCATCAGCACCTTCTCTCTGGCCCGATCCTCGTCTGTCCAGTCCTTCTCTGTCAAAGGAGAAAGCCAGGGTGAGTGGTGAGGAGAACCTCTTCACAGGCAGGACAGACCACCTGAGTCCTGGGAAGACAGCAGGCCAGCCATGCCACAAGATTAAGAGAAGGGCCCAGAGTGCCACTCACAAGGTGGTAGGGAAATGAAGGTAGCTCTAGAAAAAAACGAAGCACTTGGCTCCCCACCGAATACCCTTCAAGAGATGCCCTGCAGGGCCTGCGAGCCTCAAGGGCTTCCTGCAGCAGATATCTGTTGGTGGCTTCCTCTGGGAAGCAGCATGAGACTGGCTTGAGTGCACAAGCACAGGGAAGACAGGAACTAGCAGGGCTCCACCTGCAGAAGCAGTATAGCCCAAGTCACAGAATGGAACATGCTCCCACTGCCATGGAGGAGGGACACTGGAGGGACACTAGGGATAGGAGCCCAGCCAGGGGGCTCCCTGATGTCACTGACACTTGCCACCCCTCCAGCTTCTTCCCTCTTCCAGGCCCCTCAGGATCTCACGGGACCACCCTTAGGGGCTGCTTATGTCTGGGTTTCTCTCAACCTCTGCAGGCTCCAGGGCTGGGTGCCCACATCTGGTACCCATCATGTGCTACACATATAGAAATAAACTTCTTGAAGCTACCAGGAACTGCTCCATTCCCCTAGGACCTCACCTTGCCAAAGCTGAGGGGCAGGAAACCCAGTCCAGTCCTGGGGACAGCATACAGCCACTACCCAAATTCAAATCCTCCTGCATCCTCACATCTGGAGCCTGGGTAGGTTGTGCTTCTAGTCTATGTGCAGGGACATCAAAGCTTTGGAAAACTAAGCCTCTTGCCAGCATTACCCAGAGAAAGTAAGGCCAGTAACTGAGTCCAGGCAGCCAGACCTCCTCCATACATGGTGGACTTTTGTAGCATCTGTGGGCCCACCTCCCCCAGGGTCCCATAAACTAGCCTCATCTTCAAAAGCAGTGTCAGGGACAAGCTGACTAGGACAGGGTGTATAGCCACAGCCTTGGGGCTGCCAGTCAAACCCACTCTAGTCACACTGGGCTCCTCAGAGGTGGCCACACCCCCAGCCTCCTGCTGAGGTGAAAGTGACTCACAGTTGGCAAAAGAAGCCAAGGACATTCTGTGACTTGGGGCCGTTCCAGCTTTCTAAGTTCCCAAGTCAATGAAGAGGCAAGACTTCATTCACAGAGATGGTAAGAACCGGTGTGAGGACAGGCATGGGCAGAGACAAAGCTAGCAGATTCTATACAAATGAAAACCCCCAGGCTCTAGGCCTGTTTTTCTATAACCTCAACTGTAAAATGGCAGTGATGGATGATGACACCACCACACAGGAAAGAGGTCAGAGCCCTGCATCCTTCCATGGTTCTGTGGTCTCTCTAACAGCAGCTACGGATCAGTCCTTGCCACAACCAGGGACAAGCCAAGGCGGGCACTCTTCTAACTCCATTTCCCAGCACAGCCCTCAGCCCACCCGAGGTTCCCGCCATGCCCACAGTCAACAAATATGTAGGTTCTAAGAGTCAGACTTGGAGGCTGGGCAGTGGTGGCCCACACCTTTAGTCTCAGCACTTGGGAGACAAAGGCAGGTGGATCTCTGTGAGTTTGAGACCAGCCTGGTCTACAGAGTAAGTGCCAGAGCACTTACTAAACAACCTCCCTACCCCTATTTTTGAGTTTTTAAGACAGGCTCACGTGGTCTGGGCTAGCCAGGGTCGCCCAGGGTCACCTAGGTCACTGGTCCCAGGCTCACCTGGCTTGTTGAGAAGGCATCGGAGTTCATACTCCACATCAGCCTGCCGCTGCTCCAGGTTCTGCTGCTTGAAGCTGAAGGGTAGGGTGAAGAGGCAGTGAACACTTCTGCTAAGTGCTCATCTGCAGGCAGTGACAGCACTGCCTGCAGATGAGACGGACTGTGACAGACTGCACAGATTCCCCGTTCTCCTCAGACCCCAGTGGGAAGCAGGCAGGGCAGTCAGGACTCACACATAAATGAGCTCAGACTCTCGGCGGACCAGCAGATGCTTCTCGTGGATGAGCTTGAACCAATCCACCAGCATGTCGTCCTCGCTGCCCTCTGGAAGCCAGACCCCACTAAGGCCGGAGCCAGCACCCCTCCTGGCTCCGCACTCCCAGGCGGAGGGGCTCCCCTCAACCCACACCCTCAGCCACCCCTCACCATGTGCCCCACTGCGCAGCTTCTCCTCCAACAGAACCCCACTGTGTTCCAGGGCATCCAGCTGGCGCTCAATAGTGTCCATCTCACCGTAGATGTCCTCCTCAGGAATATACTGGTCAGCCTGGACCTGCCCAGCAATATTCTGGTCACCTAAAGAGCGGTGGCCCTCCCCTCCACAGGCTCTCCTCCAACTCTCAGGGTCCCCTAGCCACTGCAGACTCTAGGAACCCGGGTCCTGTCCCCAAGGAGCATGACAAGAAAGCACCATGGGTGTAGGGAAGGGGCCAGAGTGGGGATGGCCGTGAACCCTCCAAGTCAAGGTCTGACAGACTCCCCCACAAGACGTCCAATGCCCTGCTCCACAGGGAAGCCTCTCCTGCCCTGTCACTGGGGAAGGGGGGGGTGTCTTTTTTGTTGGGCAGTGAACTAGTGGAGCAGGTTAGGAAGAACCCTGGGGGCTCCCTTCTGAGAAGCACAAGTTTCTCCCACGCTCACTCTCTGCACTTGTTAGACACAAACACCCATCCACTGCTCTTGGACACCCAGGATCCCAGGCTAAGTTCAGCCTTCCAGTAGGGCCGTACACAGGTCCCCGAAGCCTAAGGCAGCTAAGAGGAGGGTGCTGGGCCCAGGCCAGCTGAGTTTCAGGGTCTCTGCTGGCACCTTGCGTTTGATGAGTGGAAAGCCGTGTCCGGGGGCAGGAGGCCTCACAGGCCTGGCTCCTTTGGTGGCCTTCCTTACGGTTGGAGACGCAGAGGGAGATGGTTTCCGGTTGAAAGGATTCTCCTTGCAGGAAGACTGAAGGTAGACATGACAGATAGTTAAGCTGGAGAAGTCTGATCACATAAGAATATGGAAAGCAGGCCAGGACCCAAGTGGCAGGTGGGAAGGGCCAGGCAAGAACAGAATCCTCCACGGTCCATCTCTCCACACTCATTCAGCAAATGGCTCCACTTCCAGACTGCTTCCCCAGAGACAGCTCTCACACCTTACACGCCTTTCTGCTCAGGGGCACGGCTGAGTGAAACCGGCTCAGCCATGTGAGCCAGGTGTGGTGACAGAGAGAGAGGCAGGTGGGGAGGGGACAGGGAGAGAGAGAGGCAGCAGATCACTGTGAGACACACTTGACTGCACTTGTTAGACACAAACACCCATCCACTGCTCTTGGACACCCAGGATCCCAGGCTAAGTTCAGTCTTCCAGTAGGGCCGTACACAGGTCCCCGAAGCCTAAGGCAGCTGGCCAGCCTGGTCTACACGGTGTGGGGGGAAAACCCTTTGTCTGAATGTAGGAGCCAGGGCTGAAAGGTTGATCAGGAGGTTAGAGGGTGGGTAATTAAACAGGATGCATTTCCTATGTGTGTGGTACTGTCCAAAAGGCAAAGCTAAATAAAGGGGATGTGTTGTTGTTGGGAGGGGAGGGGGTCCAGACAGGGTTTCTCTGTGTAGCCCTAGCTGTCCTGGAACTCACTCTCTAGACCAGGCTGGCTTGAAACTCAGAGATCCACCTGCCTCTGCCTTCTGAGTGCTGAGATTAAAGGTGTACACCACCACTACCCAGGTGTACACCTGGTTAAATAGTTTTAAAAAAAAATGAAAAAAAAGGGGGGCTGGAGAGATGGCTCAACAGTTAGAGTACTGACTGTTCTCCCAGAGGTCCTGAGTTCAATTCCCAGCAACTACATGGTGGCTTACAACCATCTGCAAAAGGATTCTATGCCCAATAAGTCTTTCTTTAAAAAGGAGTGCTAGTGTAACAAACACAGAGCCTCGGGTTCTAGACCTGGTGCCACGTGCACACAAAGCCTCACTCGCTGCGGACCCTTTTAGAGCCGAGCTGTTTTAGAGAGGTTATGTTCCCAAGGGCCCAGGAGCATGCATCATGGAGAAGCAGCTCCCCACCCAGGGGCAGAGACAGTGTGGTCACCTATAACCCCCATTTCCTGCTCCAGCTGCTTCTGACATTCTCTCTACCCCCAGTAGTGGGACTGGGTTTCTTAGGAGGAGCCCTGGGGCTCTAGCCTTCTCTCTCTCTGTAATATCAACACCCAAAGGCAGCCCAGCCAAGCCCAAGGCCTCTGAGCCCTTCCAGGCTTTTTAGCCCACAAAACAGCCTCAAGACAGCCTCCCATACAACCCGTGCTTGCATTACAGAGCTGGGCAGGCTGCACAGATGGCTTAGTGGTTAAGGGCACATACTGCTACATCAGATGGCTAACAAACATCTGTCACTCTAGCTCTTGGAGATCAGACACACCCTCTGCTGGTGACCATAGGTACTGCATTCTCATGCACAAACCCACACACAGATACACAGAATTTAAAATAAACAGGGAAATGTATGAATATTGGTCCTGAGAGGGTGCATTATGCCACCAAGACAACCAAGAGACTCTTCAGAACAGTCTAGAAACTCGGCAGTCCCCAGTGGCTATTATCAGAGGCAGAGCATCTCAATGTCATGTAGCAGGTGGCAGAGCCTATATGAGTGGGTGTGGCCCAGATGGCCAGACATATAGGTAGGCTGGCCCAACAATGTCAGCTACAAAGACAACTGCCTTACATGTATTGTCTTGTCACAATAGGTGTAAGACTAGACAAGCCCAGGGGCTGAGAAACAAGTGAGCCTAGAACCACAGAACCTGTTACAAGCCACATGCCCAGAGAGAAGCCCAAATAGCCCCTCCTCATGCCCACTTCACCTCTGAGAGGAGACAGAGAGCAGCCTGGTCTGTCCTCCTCCATAAGCAAGCACCTCCCCACAGCCCATAAAAGAGGAACCCAGGAGGGGACGAGGTCCTGAGTCCTAGAGCCTGACGAGGGCGTTAACCTTGGCTCCTACAAAGCAGCGTGGCTACAAATGGGAGCCATTTCAGAACCTGCAACCAGACAATGGGCCCCTCAGAACAGAGAGCTGTGTGTCTTTGGGAGCCCAGGTGTCCCACGCACACAGAAGGTGGTTAGCAAGAGATACAGTCTCTACTGAATGAGCCATCTTTCCTATTTGTACTTCATTCAAGATTACATTCCAGAGCAATCATATGCCTGTCTCCTTGTATACACTGGGCGTCCCCAGAGGGCAAGGACAGCATCTTAATGCAACAGGCCCAAGGCATGGCATCAATGAAGCCAGTGAGTGCAGGGGTAGATGAGGGGTGGGTGACAGGTAGAGGTGACCCAGCCCACTGTTAGTAAACAGGCTGGTGATCAGTCACACTGAGGGGTGAAGAGAGACATACGGATCTGTGTCTCACACACATAGTGATAGCATTCTTGCCCACTACGAGACACACGCACACTAGCTGGAAGGAAGGCTGCTTTGGGCACCCCTGGAGCACTCACCTTGATCTGCAGCTGTGGGGATGAGCTCCCCACGGAAGGTGCAGGGTTCCGGTCTCCAGCCAACAAGAATGGGGTAGGGGTGGCACCACTGAAGGGCTTGGTAGAATGGGTACCTGGGCTGCCCTTTGTCCTGGCCTGTGGCGTTTGTTCACCACTAGGCTGCCCTAGCTCCCCAGAAGATGACAGGGAAGAGTTGGCTGAAGGGGTGACAGAGTTCCCAGATGTGCCAGGGGTACCAGGCACATGCACAGCAGGATCCGAGGAGCTCTTGGGTACAGCAGGCGGCTCCAAAGGCTCTGCATTGGCAGTGTGACTGGAGCTCTCGGATGATAGACTCTCCACGCTAAGGGCTGGTGACGGCGTAGCTGAAGGAGGCTCTGAGTGTGACAGGCGAGAGGCGTGGAGAGCTGTTCAAATGAGTAAACCAGCAACGTCAAGCGGTGGACAGGACTTCTGTCCTGACCCAACACACCCTGCTCCCCGAGCTGAGGGGATCCTTGGACACCAAGCTCTTCCCCATCTGGATGAGCAAGAGGCCAGAGAACACCAAATTCATGCCAGGACCCGTGTTACAGAGGCATTCCACCTTCAGACCCACCTTGTGCCCCCTGATACTCTAGTGTGCCACTTTGTGGCACATCTATATGTAGCCCTGGCTGTCCTCGAACTCCCTCTGTAGACCAGGCTGGCCTTGAACTCACAGATTCACCTGCCTCTGCCTCCTGAGTGCTGGGATTAAAGGCATGTGGCACCGCCGCCCTGCTTGGCCCTAACCTAACTTCTCATCCGACTAGATGACTGCCTCTACTCCCCAGCTTGTCCCACAAGCTGCTGGGTAGGTGAGGACACTAGTATGAGGAAGGCAGGGAGAGTGAGGGTGGCCTCGGTCTCTGGAACAGAGACTGGAAGGAAGGCCCAGCAGAGGGAGGGTTAACACTTGCTGCAGCCGGTGCACTGGCCAGGTACTGCCAGGTGCGGCTTTCCGCTCCTGCAGATGGCACAGACCAGGCCTCCACAGTCATCATCACACTCCTGGAGGAAGCCTCAAACTCAGGAGAGGATTTTCCCTAGCTGGGATCATCTTTGAACCTGTCTTTGTCTAACTTCAGAGTTCACACCCTCATGACCCCAAACGCACCCAGCAAGGAGACTCAGACCACGAGAGCATTTGCCTGTAATTGCTCCTAACAGACGCTTGGTCCCGCTGAGCTTTAAAAGGCAGCCACAGCCTAGGGGTTGGAAGGGGACCAAGAGCTTAAGACAAATTCGAGGTAAAGCCCAAATATATGGTGTGCTGTGCCAAAGGGACTACTGGGCAAGGAGAACAGAGCACCTGGAGCTGAGCCCCACATGTGAGGAGACCAAATAGCCAAGTAGGAGCCATGCTGTTGAGTGGCTGGAGAGACAGAGACCCAGGGAGGCAGGGTTCATGTTAACCCCGGCCTCGTACCTTTCAAGTTCAGGGCCATGCCATGCACCGCCCTGACTCCTCCCGTGGAATTAGCCTAACAGGAAACATTAAAGCTGGGGTTCAAATTCTGCCTCCAGTGTTTCAGCCTTCCCTGTGACGTGGCAGAGATGCTCTTCCACTCCCAGCCTGCTTAACAGGAGGCCTGCACCCCAAGGTGTACACACAGGTAAGGAAGCTCCCTGAACTTACCAAGTGGGGAGGCACTGGGTGCTCTCGGGGCAGGGCGCTTCTTTGTCTTCGGGCTGCTGGTGGGGGTGATGCCATACCAGGGGTGCAGGGACTTGGGGGTGGCCTCTGGTGGGCCTGGGGCAGGGCTGGGTACGGCTGGGGTTGGGGCAGAGCTAGGAACTGGTGGGGCTGGAGCAGGGCTGGGTACTGCTGGGGCAGACTCTTCTTCCTCTTCCTCCTCAAAGGGGTTGTAGGGCTTGGGCTCTGGCTCAGCTACTGGGCTTTTCTGGGCCTTTTCCTTCAGGCCACCGTTCTCCACCTGCCTGCTGGCCTGACTCAGTGGCCCAGGACCGCTGCTGGGGGGCAGTGGGGCAGGCTTCTTCTTTGGCTCTGTCTGCACCAATGTGATCCATGGGGGGTCCTTCCTTTGTGCTGGCATCCTAGGGGGAGGCCGAGGTAAGGGGTCAGCATTCTCTCTAGGAAGTTTCGGTTTGTGTCAATGGGGAGGAGGAGGGGCTGAGCCCTCTGTTCTCCCAAGCCCAGCCCCAGGATCAGGTCAAGCACAAAAGGGGGCTGTGTGGCATTTAGTGACATCACCCTGTGCCTCAGGCTCATCTGTTCCATGGAGATGTTACTGACAGTCTCTATCTCACAGGGCCATGGTTAGGATCCTACACCCTGCCCCTGAGTATGGTCACACACCAGAAGCGTCACAAATGTTCACCAGTAGGATGCTGTAGGCCCTCACAGGGCAGCTACCCTGATGAGGACAGCCCTCAGCCAGAAGCATGTCCTCCACAGAGTGGGGGAGCAGAGAGCCAGGCACAACAGCTAAGCTTTTCCAGGTCTTTCTGTGCTCTATGAATGCAGCCTGGACTCTCCCATGTCATGCAGGATGTCATGCAGGAAGCATGGGCTTGTGGAGGTGAAGTAACTAGAGGGGCTGTCTCCACCTGGAGCATATGTCAGGGATGATACTTTCCTTCCTCACCCACATAGGAGCCTCCATGTGGGCCCAGAAAATCCTTTCTGGACTTGGGCCCTAGAAATGCCCCCTCCCCCACTGAGGCCTTTAGGGCCCAGCATACCTCTCTGACAGCTTGGGTGTCCCTCTTGGCTTGGGAACAGGTGGTTCCTGTAGTCTTCCTAGATATGAAGGGACAGTGAGCCAGGCCTTTATGGCAGCTAGGGTGCTGTGACCTACCTGGCAAGTCACAGACCAGGGTGACCACAGCCCCTCCCTGCCCAGCTCTCAGGGAGATTAGGTAAGACGGAAGGTGAGTGGGAGAACGACCGGTCAGAGGCTGTGGCTAGGCCTCTGGCAGGCCCAATTGCATGTTAGCTAAGTCCCAACCCAAACTCCCTCAGTCACTTCCTCTATACTAGGGCATCTACCCAGGTGCCACCTTCTCCTGGAAGCCTCCCTTGACTCCTACTTCCATCCTCCCCAGTAGAATGTCTGCCCATGCCTGTCACCCTCGGACACTGGTTCCTCCAAGAAAACACGAGGAGGTCCAAACAGTATCTATGTCCCCAGTGCCCAAACCTAAGCCAGCCTCCAGAAGTGCTAAGCAGATTCAAACACACAGAATGTTCTGGCACAAGTCCCAGCTGCTCTCTCTCCCTTGGGCCTGCACTGCCTTCCCTGACTGATAAGGAATACTCAGTGCATCTCAGGTTCCAGAGTGTGATCCCATGAGCTCACAGCACACATGGAAGTCATCTAAGAATACCCTGCAGAGAGCAGGCCACGAGTCTCCACTGCAGGCCAGATAAGCTCAGGAGACCACCCGACCCCACTCCCCTCCCCAGGCCCTTAGCTGCTCAGACCAGTGGATCTCAACCTTCCTAATGCTGTGACCCTTTAATACGGCTCCTCATGCTGTGGTGACCCCCAACCATAAAATTATTTTTGTTGCTACTTCATAACTGTCATTTTGCTACTATTATCAATAATAATATAATTATCTGCTTTCCAATGGTCTTAGGTGACCCTCTTGTGTGAGGGTCGGTTTGACGCCCACAGGTTGAAAACCACTGCCTTGGACTGACACCAGACACACTTGATGGGAGAAGGAGGTTACCTAGAGCGTGCCTGAGGACAAGCCAGGAGACATATGACTGACATCAATACGCAGTCTCGGAGACACTCAGTACACTTCCACACTCCAAACCACAAGACAGAAACAACACACACACACACACACACACACACACACACACACATGGACAGTGCGGGTGGGCTTGTGGTTTGAGCTGTACCAGTCCGGAGAAAGTGGCATGAAAAGGCACAAGGTGGCCGACAGGTGACAGCGTCACACCGCACATACAGGAACTGGCTCAAAAAGCAATTCACAGGGCTGGACAGCAGCTGCTTTCCCAGAGGACCTGAGTTTGGTTTCCAACACCCATATCAGGTGGCTTACAACAACCCATAACCCCAGCTACTGGGTGCGTGCCATGCTTCTGGACATGGTAGGTATCTACACAAGCACAAGCACAAGCACACGCACACGCACATACAGAGAGAGAGAGAGAGAGAGAGAGAGAGAGAGAGAGAGAGAGAGAGAGTTTAAAATAAATCTTTAACAAGGGGAGAAGGGCTGATAACGTTCCTGTCTATTTATATGCCCCTAAGAGAGGACACACCCAGCCAGCATGCCCCAGCCAGCCAGCATGCTCTGTCCAGCTGTACCCTCACTCACCGTTCACAAGGCCACTGCTGACACTCTGCTCCATCATGCCATCTTGCTGCAGGCTAGACCGAGGCCTCGGTGTTGGGGGTGTTAAGGCTGAACTCTCGGAAGCCTTCCTGGGGGCAGGTGTGGGCCTGCCAATAGGGGGACTGGCCAGCTCCTGGGGCTTGCTGGGAAGAGGTGGCTTGGTCAGGGTGTGGGGCTGTACCTCGGAGCTGGCCTGGAGTCCGTCTGCCTCAGCCACCGCAGCCACGCTCGGGCTCAGGTCTCTGTCCTCTCCATCCTTGGCTTCTGCTGCCAGCTGCTGCTTTTGCTGTGAAGGGGGCCTAGTTCCTGACCGGCCTCCAGGACCCAGCCTGGTGCAGCGTTCTGCACACACAAAGGTGCCTTCCTCGGGCCCACTACTGTAAGAGCCTGGGACCAGCGTGCTGGAACACTGCCGACATCTGCAGAGGACAGGGCAGGCGTTTCCTTAGCAGGACAGGCTGGCTAGGCCCTGGGTGAGCCCTCCTTCAGAGACCAGAGTTATCCCCCATTCCCTCCTTCTCCTACCAGGCCCAGCCTGGCTCCATACCCTGCACTTCCCGAAAAAAAGAACAAGGCAACTGTCAGAGTCATAGAGGAACAAGGAACTATGTCAAATTAGCAACAGGAATTGTGAAAGGAGCCTAGGCTGCAAGGGGAAGAGGTGACGGTGGCCCAGGGGAGAGTGCCACCAGCCAGTGATGCAGGAAGTCAGCATGGCTTCCCACCTGCCAGGTTTGTTTCAGTGAAGTTTTTGTTTTTGTTTTTCAGGGCTGGGAACTGTGGCCAGGGCCTTAAAAATTACTAAAGCCTTGTGCTACCCCTGGGCCACAGTGTCTTGTAAATATTAGATAAGCACTGTACCATCAGTCACTCCCCAGTCTGGGGCTGGATTGTTTTTAATGAATACACACATAATAGAATAAAATGCAATGTATCAGAGTGACTGCCAGAAGGAGTCGTCCCTGGCAGCAGGAAGCTCCTGTACTGGCCATGCATCTACTGACACAAGTGTCCTGCCATGCATCTACATCTAGTTAACATCCTGCAAACTTACTTTTTAAGATTTATTTATTTTATGTGTAGGACTGACTGTTTTACCTACATGTATGTCTATGCACCACATGTATGCCTGGTGCCAGAGGACGCCAGAAGAAGGCATCAGATCCCCTGGAACTAGATTACAGAAGACTGCAAGGACACTGGGATGGAATCTGGGTCCGCTTGCTTAACTGCCGACCCTTCTCTTGAGCCCCTCAAATGCGTTTTTTAAAAGTTAGGTATGGTGAGACATACTTTTGGTGTTTTGGGATTTTTTTTGTTGTTGTTGGTTTTGTTTTGTTTTGCTGAGACAAAGTCTCACTATGTGGTCCTGGCTGTTTGTTCTGTAACTCACTCTATAGAGTAGGCTGGCCTAAAACTCACAGAGATCTATCTACCTGTCTCTGCCTCCTGAGTGCTGGGATTAAAGGCATGTGCCACCCTACAAGGTTAAGGTGGTGCACACCTTTATCACAGCACTTAGAAGATTGAGGCCAGAGAATACCAGTTCCAGGTTAGCCTAGGCTACATAATGAGGCTCTGACTGAAAAAAAAAAAAGGAAAAAGACAATCCTTATGCTGGGAGTGTAGCTCAGTGGTAGAGCGTTTGCCTACCAGGCACAAAAGACTGGGTTCAAGTCCCAGCACTACAAAACCAAACAAACTGGCATCCCAGGAAGTCACACTTAAATTTAAGAAAAGTCTTTCTTGTATCCTTTTATGAGCACCAAGTAGTTACATTCAGGAACTTAAGGATGTAGAAGCCCTGAGCCCTGAGCCCCAATGTCCAGTGGGGACCAGACACAAAGCTCAGGTATGGGATGCTCATCTAGCTCACGCCTGGGCCTGGGTTCAAGCCTCAGCACCTCAGAGAAGAAAGGGCAGTGGCAGGAGAGCTGACTCAGCGTTTGAGGGCACCTGTTGCTCTTGCAGAGTTTGGTTCTGAGCACCCACTTCGGGCAGCTCACAACGGACTGTAACTCCAGCTGGCCTCCAAGGCCTCCCACACATGACACCGGCTCCCAGAGTCATATACGCACGCATAAAAATAAATCAATCTTCAAAAATGAGAACTGGAGGGAGATCCTGTGACTGGGTCCGCCTTTTTCTCCTAAGACACAGTTTGTTCCTCTATAAAGTGAGGATACGCTGAGTACTCAGCCAGCAGCCAAGCACAGCAGGTGCTGAGCCCAGGGGAGCTCCCTCCCAGTTGTTGGGGAGACATGCCCTGCCCATAGCACTCACCGGAAGCAGTGCCGGTGGTAGAGCCTGCCCTCCGCCAAGTACCGCTGAACCAGGTGCACCCGCTGCCCACAGGCTGCGCATGCACTGCTGGGGGGCTGTTGTTTGCCCTGCTCGGATAGGCTGTCTGGGGAGAGGTCATCACCCTGCAGGGAATGGGGTACAGTTACCAGCCGTGTTGTTCCTGGCTGTCCCCTCCCCCTCCCCATCACAGCCATGGCCCTCAAATGTACATTAAGCTCCATGATGCTAACACACGAAGGTCAGTCCTAGGAGAAGCAGAAGACAGGACACTGTTGCCTTCTCCCACATCTGGAAGCCAAAGCCCAGAGAAGGGTGACTTGTTTAATTAACATTCCAAGCCAGGACAGAAACAGTGAAGGCCAGACTTCCGGCCTCCAAGGATGGGCCCCTGCCCTAGGGAAGGCAACTCTCAGTGTACAGACCCTTCTAGTAGCTGCTCTAGCCAACCCTCCTTTCTTCTGGGTAGCCTCACACTCCCTCCCTGGGAATTCTCTCTAAAGCTTGTGAAAAGTTGACGTCCTTTGGAGGTGGGACTAGTAAGGTGACCGCCAATATGTGACCTTGGACAAAGGACCAAACCTCACTGAGCCAATGTTAACTATCTGGACAACAGGGCCTGAAAGATGCTGCTGAGGAGGGGCCTCGGTGAAATCACCTTGGACTCCACGAAGGAAAGGGAATATTCCCATCACTATGTGTCATTATGCATGAATCTCCTGACAGTCCCATGATGGCAAGGACACCATGAGGTTTGTCCATTCAGTCACAGTAATGAACCTGACTCACTCAAACTCTGGGGAAAACGATCTGGTTCCCTGCTACAAAATGGGGCTTCGGGCTGGCACTCTGGCCCTGGGAACTAACAGGACAAGAACAGAGAACACCCTCTGAATATCATCAGAGCCAACCAACTTCCTCCCACAAGGGTCACTGTCACAACCCTGTGCCCCTCACCTACTCTTCCACCCAAGAAGTCTGCCTACCTGAGCCTCCTCTCCTGGCTGCACAGCAGGTGATGTGGATGTGGGGGAGGGGGGTGCTGGGTCCTTTCCTGGTTTGGGTGGTGAGGCAGCAGCTACAAGACAGGGAAGACCCTGAGGCAGGCACAGAAGCAGAGCCCGGGGGAGGGGCCAACCCACCCAGAACTCTACAGCCACCACCTCAGGGCAGAGCTGTGCGGGACTCCATGTAACACAGAGCAGGGAACTTTCATTCTGAAGCCTCCCTAAAACGGAGCCAGAGATTCACACTGTACAGGGCACGGATGCAGCAGGCCAGGGCCCAGCTTCCTTCCCACTGAGGCAGAGGGATGAAGTCTGACCTGAAGGAGGGGGCCCTACTCCCAGTGGTCACCTGCCTGTCTCCAAGTGAGAGGCATGGATGGCCTGGAGTTAGTGGAAACCCCACAGACACTCCAGGGCTTCCCCTAAACCCTCTCCCTCCTCCATCAGCACCCAAGGAGTAAAGCAAAACCCAACCTCTAATTTCTGGAGACTGTGTATCACAGAATGGTCCCTGTGTGGTAATTTTAAGAGTCAATTATTAGGTGCACACTTTTAATCTCAGCATTTGAGAGGCAGAGGCAGGCAGATGTCTGATTTCAAAACCAGTCTGGTCTACAAAGTGAGTTCTAAGACAGCCAGGGCTACACAGAGAAACCTTGTCTCAAAAAACCCAAGATGATGACGGTGATGATGATAATAAGCTCGAGAGGTGACTCAGTGGTTAAAAGATGCTTTCACAGAAGACCTGGCCTGAGTTTTCTGCACACACATGGCAGCTCACAACTACCTGTAACCGCAGTTCCAAGGGATCCAATGCCTTTCTGGTCTCCTGCAGGCTACTAAACACACATGATGCACAAATATACACTCAGACACACACACACACACAAAACAAATACTTACAATAATGATAACACAGTTTAATTGAATACAAGTTCCTTATAGAGGTTTGCAGTAACACATTCAGCAAACCTCTAGTTCCAGGCCTCAACAGCCCCCTGCAAGGACAGAGCTGATACGCATCTGAGCAACGGAACAGAAGAGAAACATCAGCTCAATACAAAGGCCATCGTGTCAGACTGTGTCACTTACACACGTGTGACCTTGGGAGTATGGCAGAGAATGCATCTAGTACTTGTTTTGTTTTATTTTATTGACATAGGGTCTCACTATATAACTCTGGCTGTCCTGGACTTCACTCTGTAGACCAGCCTGGCCTGCCTCTGCCCCTCTCATGCTGGGATTATAAGGCTTGGGCCACCATGCTTGGCTGAGTTTGGAAACTCAGCAGCCTAGGCAACTCGCTGCCCAGGTTCTCCTGGAGAGGTCTCTCCCTCCCGGCTCTGCAGCAGCATGGACCCTCTCTGCTTCGGCTGCCACACGCCTGCCCACATCTCGGCAGCTGCCCAGGCTGTCTGCTGTTCACTTCAAATCCCATCGCAAAGGCCCTCCCAGAGCAGAGGAGAGCGGCCACTCCCCGCTCTCCTCTGTACACTCTGCCCTTCGTCCAGCTCCTGAGAAATGTACTGTTAAATGCTTTTTTTCCTGTCCTCCAGCATGATACAACAGTCTCTGAAACTTCCTCTCTTCCCAAAAGTCAACACAGCGCCTGGCACACAGCAAGGATTCTAACAGTACTTGCTAAAGCATGAGAAAGTACCAGCTGCTGGGCAACAGTTGTACACACAGAGATGGTCTGCAGGGGAAGACGGAAGATGGCGGCTGGGACAAGGGCTCAGTATTAGGGTGCATGCTTACATTGTGTACGTCCCTGGGTTGTACATACATAGTATATTCTGTGTGTTCCCCAGGAGAAAGAGGCTACTGAAGCACAGGACAGCAGCTACTGTACAAACAGGAAAGAACTGGCCATACACACGTGCACACGCGCATGCACAGAAACACACACACACACACACAGAAAGTACAATACAGGACCATTTAGGGGAGGGAACAGTCTCCAAGGTTGGAACACCATGGCAATGGCGAATTGGACAAGAATGGTTATTGTGTAGGGGTTGACTGACATAAAAGATACAAACCTTACCTTTATCAATGAGACCCCACTGCACACCCCCACCTTGCAGGCAGGTCTAGGAAGGGCCCTCTAAGGAAGGAAGGGCTAACAAGAGACCTATGACTGTCCACAAAGACCACTGGGAAATCGAGGGAGCAACAGGGCCACACACATCGGCAGCCAAAGTGTCAGGCTAGCCTGGGCTACATGAAGAGAAAGGGGTGGGGCAAGGGTGAGGGAGCAGAGCAGTGCAGCCTGGGAAATAGAATTGCGATCAGCGTCCCAGTCCTTATGTAGTTCCTGACTATTTGGCAAGCCATGTGTACAGACACAATGCTCCCCTATTACAGAGGGCTTCCTCCCAATACAACCATCAGAACAGGAACATACCCTCAGGCTGAAGCTCACCGGGTATAAACCAACACGCAGTACACTGCTGTTGTCTCCTAGACTGTGAAAGTCACAGTCACAGAACTGTGCCACCCAAGCCGGGGACAAATAAACCACAAGTATCCTGAGTCCTAAACCAACAAAGGCAAACATGCTCTGCACAGACCCCTTTTACGCCTCAGAACCACCTTGCATGCGAGGTGGGCTCTGTGCACAACCCCCCCACAAAGAGGAAACTGAGGCCGGAGGTTAAGGAATGGGCTCCCGCTACTCACAGTATAAGATGAAGGGAGAATCCTGAGCCCATACTCTTATTTCCACCGAAGCTAGACTCCTTCCCTCCCACAGTGACTGTGGGGACTTCCAATGCAGTTGTCTTTGGCGTGTGCAGGTTTATGCTTAAGTCAGCTACGTGCATCCCCTGTTTCCCAATTATTTAAGACTTTAAGGCTTTCTTTTACGTTTTGATTATGTGTACGTGTGCGTGCCTACATGTTGGTTTGTGCACATGAGAGCAATGCTTGTGGAGATCACATCATCTGGAGCTAGAGTTACAGACACTGGGAGCTGCCAGGCGTTGGTGCTGCGGACTGAGCCCACAGCTGGTATGCAAGCATGTGCCACCATCCTCAGCCTTTTAAAAAATATGTTTATTATTATCTTATTATGTACACCTGTGTGTCTGTTTATGCCTGACACTTGCAGAGGTCAAAAGAGAACATCCACACACAGTTGTGACCCTCCGTGAGCACATGGGTGCTGGGTCCTCGGAAAGCAGACAGTGCTATTAACCACTGAGCCATCTCTCCAGCCCCATTCCACCCCATTTAAAGAGACAGACTGGATTCTCCCCGTACGGAGCAGATGCAGGAAACATGACCCATGTGAGGCTGCTGAGAGCCCAGTGCAGGACTCAGGACTCCCAGGTCCTCAGCCCCGCCCCTCAGCTTTTGTGCTGGGTTCTTGACCTCCTCAATTCCCCTTCTTTGGACTCACTTCCCCTATGCAGAGGGGAGCCCCAAGCTGTCCTGGGATACTCAGCAACCTGATGGGAACAGAAAGGAAGCCTCCTCTCCAGTACACACTCTTCTCCAGTGTCTCTATTCTCAAGCTGAGGAGACAGGCTCTGCAACGATGCTATGCAACAGCCCAGAAGAGACCAGCGTTGCAGGAAGAAAAACCCTTGGGAAGTGTGAAGACAGGAAACGGCAGACAGGAAGTGCAGTGGGTGAGGGGAGGTGAACTCAGAGATGATCTCACCTAGGCTTGCTGCCTGTCTCCTCTACCAAGGCAAAGCAGATAGGGTGGCCGATCTGATTCTGTGGCCCTGGCTGGCCTCAAACTTGAGGTAATCCTTCTGCCTCAGCCTCCCAATTGTGGAGATTACAGGTGTGAGCACCTTACCTAAGCCAGTGCTTTTAATGCAATAAATATATGAACTAACAAACCCACAGTCAGTGACTGAATGTCAGACTGTTTCCTGGCTATTTCTTTACTGCTCAGAAAAGAAATAAACAGCTCAAGGTAGGCTCCGTGAAGGCCTGGGTCCCCTCTTACCTTGGCCAGAACTGGTGAAGTGGTTATAGTACTGGGACACATAGGTCATGATGCTGAGACAGTCAGGGACACTCATGGAGACCATGTCATTGGGGTCCAGGAGAGCAGGGATGCCCAGTTCCTTTTCAGCCACTTCAAAGGCCTAGGGTAGAGGCAGGCGCAAAGGCGGGAACAGCAGCAGCCACAGGGAAGAGAGGACAGAGAGATGGCAGTGTTAGTGAATACTTCACAGACCAGTCCTGGCTCATTATAATGGGGACAGGGTAACAAAGGTACCATCCCCACTTGGTGACCTGAAGGGGTAACTCTGTTGCTTCAGCGAAGGGCACCCATGGGAAAAGCTGAGGAGGGAGGAGAACCTGCACCAGCCCCCTCACCAAATGCAGTGCCCTCCGCTCCCCTGCCCTCCCCCACCACCCCACACTTGCTTCCATCCCTGTGAGGACTCACCAATCGGTTATTCTCAAAGACATTTTCCTTGGAGAGAGACTGGAAGTCGCTGTAAGAGACAGAAGGACTGGTCAAGAGATGCAAAGATCATGAAAGCGAAGTCAGGAGGGAGGGAGAGATTGACCTCAGCTCTGCGAGTCTCGGGAGGGATCCTACATGTGCCTGAAGAGCTATGGCTGTCAACCTGAAGCAGAGAGAGAGCCTGCAGCCCTGGAGGCACCCAAGCAAGGCTTCTAAGTCATGGATGGCTTCCCTGCCTGGATTCCTAACTCTTCCCCAGAGGCTTTCTCAGTCACGCAGTGTGGGCACCCCCATGTAAGGGAGGCTGAAGGTCACAGCAGCTCATCTGACAGATGCTCGCCCCACTTTACAGGTGAAGGTGCTGAGACTCAAGGTGGGGAGCCAGCCAGCTCTGCCAGCCTGTACTTCTAGAACTTGACTGAATGTCACAGACACACAGGCCACACCTAGCACAGAATCCGAAACCCCACGTAACTCCAAGAGGAGTGTTTCCTTTTCTGTTTTGTTTGTTTGTTTCATTAAGTTTGTAGTATTTATTTTGTGTGTATGTGTGCTGATGTATCTTCTTTATTAACTTAATGTATATGAGTTTTCCCAGCATGTATGTCTGTGCCACTGTCCATGCCTGGTGCTCAAGAAAGCCAGAAGACATTGGGTTTCTTGGGACTCAAGTTACAAACACATGGGTCCTGAGAACTGAGCAGTCTCTTTAGCCCCTATATATGGGATTTCTTGTTTGTTTGATTAGTTTTGGCTTGTTTTGGTTTGTTTGTAATGAAGCAGGGTTTCCTCTTTGTGGCCTTGGGTATCCTGGAACTCGATCTGCAGACCAGGCTGGCCTCGAACTACCTTCAGAGTGCTGGGATTAAAGGCATGTGCTGCTACTGGCCCTTGGCCTACATGTTTCTTAATGAAGCCCAAATACAAGAAGTTAGAAACAGAGTAGAAAGGAACAGAATCCAGAGCTGGCAGTGCCCTGAGGTGCCTGCTCTCGGGGACGGCTTCCCTAGAGTGAGCATCTTCCCTAATACGGGGCATCTCAGCTTCTGAAGTGGGGCAGGTTGAGTGATGGCAAGACAGATCCACAGACTGGTGTGGGAAACACCGGTGCCTGCTGGCTTCATCCATCTGTGGAAACCAGTGGGCTGGAGCATGCACAGGTAGGGCACCTGTGGGTCTGCTCTTTACAGGAGGCTGTGGGCAGGTCAGGAACCCTACCAGCCTCCACTGCCCTGGAAACTCAGGGAAGCCTCAGCCCCTGCTCCCTGGCTGGAGTGGAGGCCAGCAGGATCTGAGAGTGGCAAAGGCCTCCTAGATACAGCAGAATGCACAAGCTTTGCCACTGCCTAACAACTTTTTGCCTCAGTTTCCTGGTGCCCAACATGGAAGACAGAGAGGGGGATACTCCAAAACCAACAAGATCAAGGTAATTCGTCTGGATGGTTCTGTTTGGTTTCCTCAGCAGTGTCTTTAGAGAGAGAGGGGTCATAGCTTATCCCCATTGCTTCTGGGTATTTAGGATGTGCTCTTGTACATGCTTATTGAGAGAATACAAAGTAAAAACGTAAAACTCTAGTAACTGGGACTGGGGAGGCGGCTCACTAGTGAGGTGTGGGAAGTGCTTGCCACACAAACCTAAGGCCCTGAGCTCAAGCCCCAGCACTGTGGTACATGCTAGTAACCCAGATCGCTGAGGCTGGGTTGACAGTCAGCATAGCCAGATTAACCAGTCTCTGGTCTCAATATTTAAAAAAGAAAAAAAAAGTAGAATATCACCCTACACACACACTCACACACACACGCACGCGCACGCACACACACACAATACTACACTTTTCTTTTCCTTCAGTTCCTCCCACTCCATCCTTGTCCCTAAATAACAGCTGGGTTTGGAGAACACAGCTCCTTCTTTCCAGAGCACTCTCAGAGGGTTGAGAAAGTTCCATTTGTCTCTGGAGGAAAAGAAAGCACAGGAATGAATGCCACGTGGGGTCTGATCGCACAGGGATTTAGAAAAGCCTGGAGGAAAGAGAAGGGCATACATGGTCCGGCCTCTTGCCAACATAGCAGATGCACACACACACACATGCACGCGCGCACACACACACGCACGAGCATGGGCAGCCTCAGAGGCTTGAACCACTTTATCAAATGGCTTTTGTCGTTACCCAACCTCTGCTCTTACACAGATCTGCCCCTAAGTGCTGAGGGTATAACTCAGTGGTCGAGAGCTTGCCTAAACACATGGACTTGGGTTCAATCTCTAACAAATAAATACATAAACAGAGGGCAGCTAATGCTCCATCCTTCTCAGGGCTTTATGAAGGACCTGGCCTCTCATGCAATTAGCATGGTCCAGCCCCAGCCTCCCTAACCAAACGGACAACTGGATTGAGTCTAGTGTCTGCTCTGGGGAGAACATCCTTCACACCTGCCTCTCTGGACACCTGTAGGCTTTGAAAGTCCTCAGGTGGGGCCTCGGGCCTCCTCTTTGTCTTTTGCCTTTTCTCCAGGAAGTGTCCCCTGGAAGCCTCCAATTAGGGCCACAGGTGTTAACAGTAAGCTGGTGTTTTATTGTTGTTTTTCAAAACAAAGGTTTCTCTGTGTAGCCCTGGCTGTCCTGGAACTCTCTGTAGACCAGGCTAGCCTGGAACTCAGAGGTCCGCCTGCCTCTGCCTCCCAAGGTCCAGGATTAAAGGCCAACTCTAGTGTGTGCGAGCAGTGACTGTAAACTTGTTGACTAGCTAAAGGGGTTAAACAGTCATTCCCACCCCTCACTGCCTAATAGCACCTCTTCTAGTGGTTACAGCATGCTTATTATCTCAGTTAAAATCCTCACCACAGGGCTGTGAGGTAGGTCTTACCAACCCCACCTTCCAGACACTCTGAGAACCAATGATTTTCTCCAGGGCTTAAACACCAGGCAGCTAGCACTTAGAGCCTGGGCTTCAGCACCTAGCAGCCTGACACTAAGTCTCCTCCCTTGAGGTTCATCCTGACCTTCCCCCTCAGGGTTAGCCCCCAGCAAAAATAGAAGACCTCAAATCCTCAGCTCCAAGACAGGGCCAAGCCCAGCACCCTCCTGCATTACTGTAAATCCAAAGTTCAAGCCCCACTACCCTAGTCTGTTAGCACTGGGTCCCATGGCTGTAAAACCCGGCTCCCTTTTGCATCCACAGGCCCAAAACACCATCTTCCAGAGCTCCCGGGACACTGTACCACTGAACACAGCAAACCAAGTTAGGGTTGGGCAATCCTTTCAGGGCTCCCACACACCCTGTCCTATGGAAACAAGTCTGAGAGGGGAGGGTGGAGGGAGAAGGCTCTAGAGCTGGAGGAGCCCTCCCAAGGGTCTGTCAATCAAACAGGTCCAACCGTTCTGTTTGATTTATGAGATTTGCTACTGAAACTCTGAGCAAAAGGAAGACAGGTGCCAGATGAACTGCCACTCTCAAGTTTGATGAATACATAAACGAACAAATTACAGAGAGAGGTCCCAGGGCTCAGGGAAGAAAGCTGACTAGAAGTCCACCTCAGTTGTTCTGTGGGTCTGAATACATTTTCTGAGGAGGCCCTTCAGAGCAGCTCAGGTAGGAGGGACCCACGTTCCAGTTGGAAGCTACAGACTGGCAGTTGGTTGTCAGCTGTACTAGTCTTCCCCTGCCTGGCTCCTAATCTCTGCCCACCTTTGTGCCCCACTGTGAACAGCAGAGCCATGGGGGCAGGGGCATACACCTAGACAGATTCCTCGTCGAAGTGGTTTGGGGGAAGTAGTGTACCCGCAGTCACCTGACAGCCATTTATCTAGGAGCCTTGTGCCAGAAATGGGGTTGGTGCCCTACAGAGTATCTGCCCAAAGTGCCTTACAGAAGCGTCCCTCCTCCATCCCTCTAGGTTCTTTGAGCTTTAGATGTAAATGGCAAACCAGCTGAAGAGAGAATTAAAACTAATGACCTACATACCCATGGGAGTCCCACAAAATATGGCACTTGCAGTGTCGGATGACAGACGTTTACATTCTAGAAGGGAATGGGGTTAGGCTTCTAGGGGAGGGAAGGATGGGGAAGTGAATAAAGCCCAAGCCCCGCTGCTTCTCTCAGGTAGGAAGTGATCTGGAGCAGCATTCTTTCCAAGGACCCTTTCCCGTAGGTGCCCTTACAGATGTAAATTCCTATTGGAAAGACGACAACCTCCCAGAGCACCCGGGGTTCTGCTCGCACCAGCTCGAACTTAAAGGAAGCCTAACTGGGGGAGTGGCATATTCTCATCCCCTACAGTTAAGTTTGGGGGTACTATGCTCTGACGCCAATGGAAGAAGAGAGGCTCAGTATGTCTGCTGGAGCCTAGAGTAGGGACGTCCCTAAGGAGGGGTCAGAGTTCCCTCTTAGAGGTCAGAGCCTGACACCAGTGGCCCGAGGTGGGGGAAGGGGTGCACGGTCTTAGGGTCTCGGTGGCCCTGCTCCTCGTTCAGAGGCGGCGGATGTGAGGTCCCCGGACCGCTCAGGGCGGCGCGTGCCACCGCGTCACTGAGGGGGGCGGCGGTCCCCAGCCCCGCGTGCTCGCTCGCGCGCCCCGGGCACTCACAGCAGGTCGGGCCGGTGCCGGTGCAGGATGGCGCAGAAAGCCAGGCCGTCCCGGAAGGAACTGCTCAGGTCGCGGATGTCCACGCCGCGGTAGCCCTCGCACTGGCGGCGACACCAGGCCAGAAGCGCGCCCCGCGGCCCCGCCATGGCAGGCCGGGCTCGGACGGCCCGGACTGGGGCTCGGACTCGGACTCCGGTTCGTGTGGCTCCGACTCGGGGTCAGGTGGCACTAGCTTGGCGCTCCGGCTCCGGCGGGGCCAGTTTCCGGCTGTATCTGCGGCGCGGCTCGGAGGTCGGGGCGCCACCGGCGGCCGGGGCGGGGCCTCGGTGTCCTCGCTCCGCTCCGGCGCGGCTAGGGCTGCGGACTCGGCTCCCGACCCCGCCCGGCCAGCCTGCCCCGACCTGCCCGCGCAGCCTCCGCCCCGCGTGGCCCGGCCCGGCCGGCCGCCGCTTACTCACCGCGGCCCGCTGTCCTCATTGTGGGCCGGCCGCGGGCGCCCACCGCCTCCGTCCCCGCCCCTGCCCGCCCGCGTCGCGGGGGAGCGCGAGGAGGACGGGGCCCCACCCTGCGGCCCCGCCCCCGCCGTCGAGCCCCTTCCCCGGAAGGGCGGACGCCCCACATAGCCCCTCTCCTCCACACCGAGTCAAGCCTTCCCATGGGGAGCCCCTCCTGGAAGATGGGACAACTCCTCGCTGGCTAGCCCCTCCCCAACGCCACCCCGCAGGCTCCCCAGGCCCTCCTACCCCAAGAGGCGGGACACTCTCGCTTTGCTGCTAGCCTGCCTCAAGCTCACCCTTAGGAACCTTCAGATTCTCCTGACTTCTCTGAACCACACCCATGCCTGGTCTGAAAGTCGAGGCACTTTCCCTACAGATTCCAAACCTCCAGATGGCCACCAGCTTTCTTCCATGCCCCACCTACAACACTTCGATCGCCCGCCCCCCCCCCCACGGCCTGCCTAGGCGACCCAAACACCTTTATCACCATCAGCCTAGGAGACCCAAAACCCTTTACTACCACCAGTCCAGACAGGCTGGAGACCAGTCCAGACAGGCTGGAGGACCAAGTTGGTCCTTTCTGTGTAAACTAGGGGGTCATATACCCTTCTGGGGCCCTGTCCCTTCAACTTTTAGAATGGAGGTGGGCTGGGCTCTTGCTGAAAGGACCGAGAAACAAACACAGACTACTCTGTCTAATGGTGTGTTCTGGCCACAGCCGGTTTTGAAACCTCTCCTGCTTCAACGCTTGGTTTGCCACGAGGAGACCCCTCCCCCGGAGGCCTCTCCTAACTAAGCCCAGGCTGATGAATCAGTTGCAGAGCCAGTGACATCACTCTGACCTATCTGTAGCTTGTAGGAATGAGTCTACTGCTCCCTCCTGAGGGAATGAACAGGGTCTTAGTCATCTGGAACAGGATTTTGGAGTTCTATCAACCCAGGCTCAAATCCTGGTTTCCTCACTCCCCAGTCACGTGATCTTGTGTCACCTTGAGTTAAAGTTTCCTATCTTGAAAATAAAGATAGAGCCTTCTAGTTTATGCCCAAGAGGTGCTTGCCAACCTGGGCTACAAGAGACTTGTTTCAAAAATAAAAAAAGCTGGGCAGAATGGCTCAAGTGTTCTCACACGGGGGAATCCTGAGGCAGGAAGAACCCTTTGCCCAAGTTTGAAGATAGCCTCTGTTACATAGTACCAGGCCAGCCTGAGCTACAATGTAAAACTGTCTCAAAAATAAACTGGAGCCTGGTATGGTGGCTACCTTTAATCTCAACAGTCAGAAGAGGCAGGTGGATCTCTGGACATTGGAGGCCAGCCTGGATATAGTGAGTTCCAGGACAACCAGGGTTATAGAGACCCTGTGTGAATAAATAGGGCCAGTAAGATGGCTCAACCGGTAAAGGTGGAACTTGCTGATCTGAACTCAATTGTCTAGACCCACATGATGGAAAAAGAGAGCCAATTCCCAGAAGTTGATCTCTGACCTCCACACAGGTGTCCTGGCACACGATGCCTCCACGACCATAAACATACAAAGGGACATAATAAATGTATGGAGCTGTTAAGAGTACCTGCTGCTCTTGTGTCTGCTGGGTTGGATTTTCAGTCTGGAACTAGCCACCGCGGTAAGTCCAGTTCTGGGGACCTGACACCCCCTGATTCCACTGCACCGATGAACACGGTCTGCATATGGTACACAGACATACGTGCAGGCAAAACACCCACACACACAAAATTAATCTTCAAAAAAGTAATGTGTGCCTGCCCGAGGCCCGAGTTAACTGATACTAGTACTCTATAACATGAGACAGATTGAAACTTTTATACCTAACTTGTCACTTGGGCCCCTGGGGTCAATTACCAAAGAAAGAAGTTGAATTCTGCTTCCTCAAAGCCCACAGAATCACATTTCACAATACAGGGCCTGAGGGCTCCTGGGCCAGCTTCACACCTCTGAGTAAGAAAAAGCCAGCAATTTGCCTTCACTGACTTCTCCTGCCAGGTCCCCTGTGGAATCAGGGTTGCAGGCACTTCTGTTCAGTGACTTGGGATTGGATCTTGAAACTAGTTTCTTCAGTCTCAGACATCACCCAGGGTTCTCACTAAAAACCTAGAAGGATCTTGATTCTGAGGGTCAGCCTGAGCTATGTAGCAAAACCTTGTCCAAAATATATAAAATCGCAGAAATGGTTGTACCACTGTCCTTAAGGGCTGCTTTTAGGTCACCCACTGTCATTCGTCTGACCTTGATCTCTCCCATTGCTTTAATAATAGCTTATGCGGCTCAGCCCTTGGCCCCCACCAGCCATCTGTGGGCTTCAGAAACCCATTGCCTGAGTCAGCTTGCTGTGTCATGAAGGATGGACCATGGCAACCAGAGCTGTATGACTGCAGGCCAGACACCTCACCCCAGTGAGCCCCAATTCCCGACCTGTCAAGTGGGGACAGTAATCTTTGCTCTGCCTGCATCCCGGGTCTGTGGGTAACCACATGTGATAACGGTGGTAACAATGCAGTGTAGACGGTCAATCAGCGTGTGGGTAGAGGCTGAGTCTTTGTCTGTAGGTGAGGTTCAGAAGCCACAGATGGGCAGGGCTGGCCTCCCCGCCAAAGTCAAGGTCTTTAGGGCTTTTTTTTTTTTTTTTTGGACACAGTCTCTCTGTATGGCTCTCCCTGTCCTTGGAAGTTGCTCTATAGACCAGGCTGGCCTCAGAGCTCTGACTGCAGAGTCCGGGCTTAAAGGCATGAGCCACTCCACCTAGCTAGTACTTCTGATATGTATATATGCACGTGTTTTATTCTATTTCTGGCGTGTTGGAGACTGAACCCAGGGCCCTGTGTGTTGGCTTTGCAAGCACTCCACCAGATGAGCTACGTCCTCTTATTTTTCATGTCGCTGAGCCTGGGAATGCAGCTCTGTGCTATCATGTTTGCCCAGCATGTGCAAGACATTGAGTTACATTCCCAGACTCAGAAAGGGGGGTGGGGCTTTAAGAGAAAGATCGAGAAATGTGGGTAGAGCGGCCAGAGCCAGAGCCGGTTTCTGGCTGACCTGGGCGGGGAACTGGGGGCTGTGCCTTCCACTTGCCATTCTGCCAGCCAACCTGCTTGGCAGAGGGCTGTGAAGGGTGATGAGAACGAGGTTTTAAAAGCTACAACGGGCACACCTTTAATCCCAGCACTTGGGAGGCAGAGGCAGGCGGATTTCTGAGTTTGAGGCCAGCCTGGTCTACAGAGTGAGTTCCAGGACAGCCAGGACTACACAGAGAAACCCTGTCTTGAAAAAACAAAAATAAAAAGCTACAACTGTGTTATTAGTTACTTTCTCCTTCAGCAGCTTAAGGAAGGGAGGGCGGACATTGGTTAGTTGGTCCGCACACAGAGCAATGGTATAGCCCAGCACTGCAAGGGAGGCATGGTGGCAGAACATGGAGTCACTACCCTTGTGTTCTGAGTAGGAGGCTGACATGTGGGTGCTTTGCTGGTTTTCTGCCTTCTCTTGTCTGTGTGTGGTGTAATGCACGAGTGTGTGCACACATGCACATAGAGGCCAGGGGAGGCAGTTGGTGCCCGCTCTATCCCTTCCCACAGTATTCTTTAGAGACAGGGTCTTCTCCTTATTCTGGAGCTAAGCTGGCAGCCAGGAAACTCCAGTCATCCTCCTGTCTCCATCCACGCCCCCATAGCACTGAGGTGACAGGCACCTGGGCGACACTTGGAGTTTCCCATGCTGCTGGTGATTCAGACTCAGGCCCTCATGCTTGTACAGTAAATACTCTTACCCACTGAGCCACCTCCCCAGCCTCATCTCTTCCTTTTCATACAGTCCTGGATTGTATGGGATGGGATGGTAATCTTAATGAGAATGGCTCCCGCCGGGCGGTGGTGGCGCACGCCTTTAATCCCAGTACTTAGGAGGCAGAGGCAGGCGGATTTCTGAGTTCGAGGCCAGCCTGGTCTACAGAGTGAGTTCCAGGACAGCCAGGGCTACAAAGAGAAACCCTGTCTCGAAAAACCAAAAATAAATAAATATAAAATTATTAAAAAAAAAAGAGAGAGAATGGCTCCCATAGGCTCACATATTGGAATGTTTGGGTCCTAGTTAGTGGAACTATTTAGGAAGGATTTGGAGGTGTGGCCTTGTTGGGGGAAGTATGTTACTGAGGGTTGGCTTTGAGGTTTCAAAAGCCCACGCCAGGCCCAAACTCTTGTTTTCTCTGTCTCCTGCTTGTGGATCAGGTGTAAGCTCTTAGCTACTGTTTCAGTGATGTGATAAACATGGAAAATCCTCTGAAACTGCAAGTCCCCAATTAAATGCTTTCTTCTGTCAGTTGCCTAGGTTGTGGTGTCTCTTCAGCAGCAGAATGACTAAGACAGATGGTATCACTTGCATTAAAGGCATGTCTTCCCACCATTCACGGACGGGCCCAGATGTATGTCTACCAGGTGTTTGTGTGTTGGCAATGAAAACCAACCATCAGAAACAACAGCCAAAACCCCACTGAGCCTGGGAGAGGGGCGCATTTAGTAAACGCTGTCGAGAAGGAATGAACTAATAACCTAGTTCCCAGGGCCCACATTTATTGTCATGCACAAGAGTCAAGGTACATTTCAGAGAGATAAAAGGAGAGGAATGAACTGCAGATGGTC